ACATCGGCTTTCAGCTTCCTATCTACGCAAACACACTCCCTGGTCTCACTGCCCCCAAAAGCTCCATGGATGCCTCCTAACCCTTCATTTTCTCCTAACATCATATACAAGAAATTCTGCACCTTAAGTATGTTCTCCCTAAAATTCAAAGCCCCCGATCCCTCTTTACTGTCAGATCTATCACAGGGATATCTTTAAGTTGCCTTCAACATGACAGATTTCGTAGGGAAAAGTACAGAATTATCGTGCTGATGAAATCAGATGCAATCCAACATGAACATCAGGATGGTCAAGGATAAGTCCTGAGTGTGTGTTAGTTTCCTCACTGCCTTCTCAGAAGAGGTACATCTGAGCAGATCCTGGGAAGCTGCATAGGAATAAGCCAGACAGACAAGCTGGGGCCGGCATTCCAGGCAGAGAGAAAAACATGAACCCAAGTGTGGGAGAGTGTGGCCCACGGTGGAGCTGCCAAGAATTAGCTGAGGCCAGGCCTGTGGAGGGGCATGGCCACCAGAGACTAGAGGTGCTGGGGGAAGGAGGCTGGGCTTGCCCGAGGATAGCAGAGAGCCGCTGAGGGTTGTAAGCAGAGGGAGAGGTATGCTACCATCTGCATTTTAGAAATAACACTTTGGGGGCCAGGTGGAAGATGGACAGACAGGAATGGTGTTGACATAGGAAGACCAGGGACAAGGCTATGCTAGTCCTGAGCGGGCCCTCAGACAGGTGCCAGCTAGCCATGCTGTTACTGCCACCAAGATTTCTTTCTCTCCAGCTTTGTGTGGTGTGGACTTTTTTGGGCCCTGGATTATTGGAGAAGAGACTGCAATTGATCTGGCTTAGAAACCAATATGAAAGCATTTTCTCAGAAAATGAAAAAGACTTAGAGGTAAAAATAAAAACTGCACATAATACCTCACTCCCATGATAAGTTATTGTCAGGGGATGTAGGAAAACCAAACTGGTAACGTGAACTTTGAGGAGATTTTTGTCCTTAGAGAGTCCAGATAGTGCTCTTTGGGGCTTTCTTCTAGCACCTTCGCCATCTAAGATCCATGGATAATTTGAGGCTCTTCATCTTCATTTTCATCTTCATCTTCATCTTCATCTTGGCACCAAGAGGTTATGGCTCTGGTCCTCACTGAATTTGTCATCCATAGATAAGTTCATTAGTTAGCTATTATCCTAGAATTCAGCATCTAAACAGTAAGCATTTATCATCTCTCAGATTCTTCAGGGCCAGGAATGTGGGACCGGCTGGCCTGGGTGGTCCTTAGCCTGGGTCCTCCATGAGGCTGCAGTTAGTTGTCAGGCAGGGCTTCAGTCATTGGGTTGGAGGCCCCTTCTAAGCTCACTCCTTGGCTCGGACTGGCTTCAGTCTCTCTTGGCTGTTGTCTGGATTCTTTACACTATTTCTCCCCACATGGGCCTTTCCACAGTGTCCTCATGTGATGAAGCTGGATGCCCCCGGAGTGAATGATTCCCGAGAGAGACGGTGCACTCACGATGGAAGCCTAATCTCCACAGGGAGGTGCCACCACGTCCAGAGCATCCTCTTGGTTAGAGCTAGTCTCTAAGTCCAGCCCACAGCGAAGGGGAGGGTCGGGGAGAGGAGTGCCTCTCTACCTCTGGAGGGAGGAGATGAACACAGGATTCGTGGGTGCATTTTTAAAATCCCCGTAAGGACCTTATTTAATCTTTGAGAGATGATATGACACTGTGCTTAAGACCATAAAAGCATGAATTTCAGGTCCATAAAGACTTAGGTATAATCCTGGCCCCCACATTTGCTACTTCTGTAGGTTTAGACAAGCCATTTAACCTTTTTGGATCTCAATTTCCTATTCTACAAAATAGGGGTAAGAATAGTAAATATTTCACTGCATGGCCATGAAAATAAGATCATATACGTCAAGTGCTTGTATTTTACAGAATCAGTACTGAATAAACATTACTTAATTACTGTATTGTAACTGGATGATATCGTCCTTCCCAAGAAGCAGGAGAGCACAGAGGTTAGTCGAGAGCACCGGTTGTGGAGTCAGACTGCCTGGGTGGGACTTGGGCTGGGCCACCATTAGCTGGGGGAGCTTGGAGCAGTCCCTGAATGTCTCTTCCCATTGGTTTCCTGTGAAATGAATATAAAGGTGTTCAATAATTATTTTATGAATAGGGACATAGTGGATAATGATAGAGGGATATGATGACAAAGGAGTGTGTGTGTGTGTGTGTGTGTGTGTGTGTGTGTGTGTGCTACATAAGCACATTTGTTTCAAACACCTTCTGTTAACTAAGGAGGGATGGCTGTCCTGGTCCTACTTGAGTATGCCCTGTACCCTGAGCGACACCTGCACGCATGTCCAGGTTTATCATCCCTTATAGGTTGTCTTTGTTCTCATTGTTCAGCTTCTTTTCCCTGGTTTTGTTCTAGCATGCTTCCTTCACCCTCCCTGCTGCCTCCTCCAAGAATATGTTTAATTGGCTTTGCACAAGTCCGGGGACTCGGTGACAGGAATGGGGGTCCCATGTCACACCACCTCAGAGCTGCTACATTACCTTAAATTGATTTTGCAAATGAAAGCTAAAAACGAAGCAAAGGCGCGCCATCCATTTTGTCTAAAGATGATTATAATGCTCTTTTACGGCCTCCTAAATGACAAAGCAGTTTGTTACCTGCCTGCATCAACATTTGCTTATATTAGCACCCGAGATGCTTGATTTTTATTAGCCCCACGTTATCATTTTATGAAGACGCAGGGGCTTGGTGAAATTAGTGTGCAAATAGAATGCCCATTTTGCATTTTCCTGTGGTCAGCAGAAATGCTGAATGCAATTGAGTTGATAATGGGTCAGGAGAGACATTCATAGAGGTAGCCTTCACCGAGGGCCCCGGTAATGCCATTTATCATTTCTGAACTGCTGAGATAGATGGCATCAGTGCTAGACAGTGTTTTTTTAAAGGGCTCGGTGGCATTTTTTTTTTTTTATTAAGGGAAAAGCAATATAAATACTGAGAGAGTAGTTCAACTTCCCCCAGGAATAAGGGATGAAAGCAAACACTTTTGTATATGTTATAGATGGAAATGCAGGGGATGTGGAGTCTTGCATTGTTAGTGGATCCTGAGGAGACACATAGGTGGGGAAAGGGGCACGGGGCTGGGAACTGAGACTTAACTACCTCTGCCAACTGCATGACCTTCCACCGGTGAGCCTCAAGTCCCTTACCTGTAAAATGGGGTCAATACTCTCCATCTCACAGAGACATGACGAAGAGTAAATAAGATAATGTGTGTCTAAATTTCTTTGTAAACCGTCATCTATATGAGTACTTTTATTTGTTAGTTTAGCAGCTGGTTTCTGAACACCTGCTCCATGCAAGGTCCCAGGAAAGACATTAAACATGCACAGTGCAAGTTGCAGTTTCTCCCTTGTGGAGCTTCTATTCAGTCTAGGAAACAATCACATGTCTGACCATGAACTTCTTTAGAAAAGGTGGGTCTTCTATTTCTCCCTTTGCTCCCAAAGGTGCCTAACGCAGTACTGAGTACACAGTGAGTGCTCAGAAACATATGTGGCCTCCATTATTTCTCTTTCCTATCATTAGGGAATCAATTGACCTCCTCCCCACAACCGGACAAACTAGTTCCAAGCCTTTAGAACCAGGCTTCATAGAGTTACTAGTTTTTTATTTTAATTTAGTATCTGACTTGGATGTATCAAAAGTGGGATCATGAACTGCATTTAAAATAACCTGTATCTAGCATTTTAGAAGCTGAAATCCTGCTCCTTGTTTCTAACTGCCCTCAATGGAATCCTGTAATCCAGCATCTCTCTTTTTTCATTTCTGAATTCACTTCAGGTTGTTGTTCTGTTCTGGGGCAATCAGTCCTTCCTGTGCTCACAGCTAAGTACCCTTCTCTTGCCCCTTCTTTCTGGGACTGTCACGCTTGGCTACTGCTTTTGCTTAATTGTATCTTTGCACGGTAGTTAAATTTTCTGATACAAGTGAGACTTCTGTAGAGGCAGCAAGACTTGGGCCAAGATTCAGAGCCATATTTTTCTACTTCTTTGTATATCTAGTAATTTTTTATTGGATGCTGGATTTTGTGAATTATACATGGTTGAATGTCTGGTTTCTGTTATCTTCCTTTAAAGAGAGTTGGGATTTATATACCAGTCAGTTGAATTTCTTGTCTCAAGCGTGGTCCTTTTGAGATTTGTTTTTTAATTTTGTTAGTGAGTATTTGAGAAGGACAACTAAGGCATGGTCCTTCTGGGTTCTCCACTGATTACCTGCACAATCAGTGAGGGAATTCAAATGAGTCCTACTTCTCTGTGCCGTTCACATGGGCATAGTTTCATTCTCCCTCACCTATTTTCTGTCTGACCTTGAGCAAGTTATATAGCTTCTCTGAGACTCAGTATTCACCTCTATAAAAAGGGCTATTAATGAGAATGTTTCTGTAAGGATTATAAATCATTTGTATATTGTGCCTGACATAATAGGAGCTAATTGAAAGCCAGTTGCCACTATTACTAATTTAAGTATACCTCCTTTACTTAATCAGCTACTGAATATTTACTAGGCAATATGTTAGCTTGTTTAATCATTACAACAATCCTATTGTATAGAAGTAGATACTATTATCCACATTTATAGGTTAGCAGATGAAAACTCAGAATGGATATACAACTTGCCTACTCAGTGGATCTGGGATTTAGTAACTCATATGACCTCTTTACATGACTTTAATATTAATATAATCAGTTGCATCAAGGAACGGGATATAGTCTTTTAATATTTAGTAGCCAGGGACATAATTAAATTAGTCACCATGTCAAACTCAAAGGCTAACACAGGCCAAATAAATGAGGCGAGTTGACATGCTTGGATGATTTAAGAGATGAATGTAAAGCATCCAGCCCATTTCCTGCTTTCTCCCTCTCCTAGTCTCAGCTTTCCATGCCTTCCTTAACAGCCTTCTTTTATTTTATCTTCTTAGACAATCTTCGGGAAGGGGCAGAGCAGAAGGTGGTATTCATCACGGGACGAGTCCACCCAGGGGAAACACCCTCTTCCTTTGTGTGCCAAGGTGAGTCGCAGGACCCCATGGGCATCCTATGCTTGCCCCACACCCACTGGAGCGCAGTGATGATCTCTTGGACAGAATGGTAATGTACAGAATCATTATCTTGGATGGGAATTCACTTCACTTCTAAAGAGATTACACTTGATCTTCCCTAGGATTTATTTTCAATAAATATTGACCTCATGTATGTATGTATGACTGGATGGATGACTGGATGATGTGTAAATAAACAGGGGGACTGAATGAAATTCTCTAATATTTGCTGTGTTGACAATGTACGGCTGTGCAGAGAAACCTACGCTCTCTGGCTGTGTTTTACTTGTTTTCAGTGGTTTATAACAATAATATATCTCTCCCCAGGCCAAAGTGTATGTTGATGGAAAGGCAGCCAATGAACTGGAGAATCAAGAACTAAAATTTTTCTATTCACTCATTTATTCAAGTATCCACTGAACACACAACTTTTGAAATACCCACCATGAGCAAGGAAGCATGCTTGGTATCAGACAACCAGAGATAAATAAGATACAATGCCTTTTCTCAAATATATCTCTTTATAATTGCATTTTATTTTATTTATTATCAAATATTTCATCTATATAAAATACATTGAGCTAGTCAGTTATATAAATATATCCAATAAGTAACATATAAATAATAATTTAGTGAATGCTCAGCATAAGTAGCAGCAGATTATCAATTTCTTTTAAGTTCTCTGTCCTCTTTCCTGCCCTCCCCCTCACACAAATAACCATCAGCTTAAATTTTGTAATTGTCTTTTTTTTAACAGTTACTAAGCATGCAAGCAATCCCAAACAATGTGGTGTTAGTCTTGCATGGTTTTGAACTTTATAAAAATGGTACAGTCCTGTGTGTGCCCACAGTGGTTTTCACCCAGGATCCATGTCTTGACTTTACTTATTTCCACTATATGCATTTTTCAATGTCAGAGGAACTAATATGAGAAAATTAAAGTTAAGAGAACTTAAGTAATTTATCTCATTTTAGTCTCAAAGTGACCATGAAGTCAAAGGAATAGGAAAAACCCCTAAGGTCACAGAACTTGAGGGAGATGGCCTGCTGCTGGGGAAGTACCTGGTGATTTGCCATGAGATAGTCTTGGGGTCAAATATCAGCTCTGCTCTACCACTTCCTCCTAGTGTGACAGTTTCCTGGAACGTGAAATGGGTTAGGAAACCAATCCCTGTCTGAAGGCTGTGATAGAGCTGGCCTAGGGTGAATGTACACAAACACCCCCTCCTATAGGCGGCATCCAGCAGGGACACAGCAGGTGTCCCTCCTTCCTCATGGGAATCTGAGAGGGTGATGCAGTTAATCTGCTTTGTACACTGTGAGGCATTATATAGATGGATATGGGGTCCATTTCCCCCATTCACATTCTTCCAGTGCTGTGATTGGACATAACTGCTTGCCCCATGTTTCAGGCAAGGAGAAAGTTTCAGGGAGAGAAGGTGGTCCCCCAGAGCCACGCAGCTTGGATGAGGCACAGCTGGGCTGTCTCACCTCCTCGCTCCAGTCACCTTAGCTTCCTCCTTGGCATTCTCACTTCCAGCACTGTCCTTGCAATCACCTCTCCCAGGTCCCTCTTGGCTTTGCGGCAGCCATCTGGCAGTTACTAAACTTGGCAGCAGACCTGTTCCCCCAGCTAATGGGATGCAACTATCAAGTCTTTCTTTGTAAAAAGGCAGCAGTCATACCATCAGTACTTTCATCTCGGGGAGCTTAGACTCCCATGCCCTCCTCCTCTGTGCACAGCAGACAGAAGGCAGGGCCGCCTTCCATTTTATAGGTGAGGCCTGAGGCACAGAGTTGCATAGAGCTCCGGTGCTCTCTCTGTTGGCCCTGCTTTTCCAAAAAGGAACCTGGATGGTGTGGAGTTGATAGAGCCGGTGCTGTTCTATAGGCTTTTGATCAAAGTTTACTCCTTGGCAGAGCCTTTAATGCCTCCCCTCTACCTTCTCAAGATAATCTCTAAACTCCTTGCATGACATTCACCCTTCATGATCTGGCTCTTGCCAGGTTCTCTGGCTTCAGCCTTAGTATATCCCAGCCCCACACAACTTAATCCCTGGGTGGACAATCCTCTCTCCACTGCTGGGCCTTTGCAGCTGTTACTCCTCTGCCTGCTGCTCCTTACCACTTGGTAAACACTTCCCATAGTCCAAGGTTTATATTAGATGCCATCTGTGGGCCCCTGGCACACACCCTATTTTATGGCCCCTTACTTTATGGCCGCTTTAGAGGTTACCTGATAGTAATCTTAATTACCCTGATTTGTTATATATTAGAGTTATATTGTTTCTTCCCCTTTAAACCATGAGCTACCAGAGGCCTAGGGTTGGGTCTTCAAATGTCATTTTCCACATTTGTAAAATGGGTATTATTTTGCTCATCTCTTGGGGCTGTGGTGAGGGACACATGATGTGTTGGCTCTGGGATGCTAAATCTGAGTTCAGAAAGAGGAGCCTCAAAGTCACATAGCCAGAAGGTGGCCAAAGGGCACAGAAGGGGCCAAAGGGGACAGAAAGAGGGAGAAGGGTGCAGAAGGGAGCCCTAGGGGGGCTTTGATCTGGGTCTCCCAAGCCTGTGCATGCCCCACTCAGCAATGGGAAATGCTAGAGGGCCAAGCTCCTGCCAGGAACACACAGCTCTCTGGACATCCCACAACAGCGAGCATGTTACAGAAGAAGGTGTAGAGGCTCAGAGAAACAAAGAGGCTAACCCAAGGCCACACACTAACTCATGGTAGGTGTGGCGTGGGCCCCTCTCCCCAATCCTGCCTTTGTTTTTCCCATCTCTGGCTGTCCCTCAGGACACACAGTTCCTTCCTGGAGGCAGCTTAAGTCAGGCTTCCTTTCCCCATTGCCAAAGAGAGACTGAGGCACAGTCTTCCCCAGAGGTTTCTCAGTCCCCACAATGGCTCAGCTGGACTTTCTTCCCCAGTCCCAGCCCTTCCCCAGTTCCCCTCCCCTGCCCACTTGGTTATGGGCAGGGCAAGGGGACCCAAGGCCTGGAAGGATGAAGTCTGATACCTTCATTCTGTTTACTTCTTCCCCATTAACTGGCTCAGTGACCTTGAGTGGGGAACAGACATGTGGGCCTGGTTGCCCCATCTGGCTGGGACCAAGGTTCTCAACGCAAAGCTGCTGACACACCTGCTGCTGAGAGCAGAGTGGAGCCTTGTCCTTGCAGAACACCAGAGGCGGTGGCAGGAAGGGAGGCAGAGCTGCTTGTAGGATGGCTGAGAATCGAGCTCTGTCACCCCAGACCCTCTCCTGGCCTCTGTGAAGCCACACTCTCCTTGTTCATCAGCCACAAGTGCTCTGTTTGTCACCCTGGTGCAGAGCGTGTGCGGCATGGTCTTAGGAGCTATGCAGCCTGGGATTGGGTCCCAGTTCTTCCCCTTAGTACAGTGTGACCTTGGAATGTCCCTTAACCTCTCTGTGCCTCCATTCCTTTACCTTAAAGGGAAATTGTAGTAGGAATCCTGTCTCCTAGTGTTGCTGTGACAGTGTAATGAGTTAATGTTCACACAACACTTAGGACAGTGCCTGGTGTTCAGCGGGCCTCCATACATGCTATCAAGAGGTAGGTCATGGTTAACTGAGCACTTGCAAGTGCAGGTATGAGTCCACTAACCCTCCTCATGAACCAAAGCCCAGTGTGTGACTCCCATCCCCCATTTCCTTGCACCCTTGAGAGAGCTGTTACCAAACCCTCCTCATTTACCATACTGCATGTCAGCTGGTTAGCTGGTTGGCCAGGACTAGACCTCAGGTCTTCCTTCTGGTGCAGTGACTGTTCTTTTGTTGAAGCCCCGCCCCAATTCAGATCCTTCATAATTGAGTTAATTAGACCTACATTGTGGGATGACAATGCAGGCAAGGCACATCCCCCTGGAGGGCAGCATGGGCAGTGGGCACAGCAGGGGCCTGCACTTGGGCAGGCCTGAGTCTGAGTCCTGCCACTTCCACCTCCCAGTTGGGGACCTTCAGCAAGTCCTCAACCCTACTAGAGCCTCTGTTTCTTCACCTGCAAAAGATGGGCAACTGAGTAGTCCTCACGGAGCTGCTGGGAGGGCAAACAAGACCATGTATGTCAGGCTCAGGGCAGCAAAAGGCGCGTGGAGGTGACACCATGCCCACTCTCTCTTCCTCTCACTCTTCTCAGAAATCCTACCAGGTTATTGGGAAGCTCTCAGCCCTGCTCTTCAAAAAAACCAAAAAATTCACTACATGTCACCTGGTAGAGTAGGGACCAGACCCAGGTCTCCTGTCCCACATCCTGGACCCTGCTGCTATGTGCCAAGGTGCCCACCAGACCCTAGACGGGTGTAGAGCTGACCTTCCCTCGGGAAGGTCATGCCTCAGGTTGTCCTGTGGGGGTAAGAGGAGGAGGAAGGAGACCCACAAACACACACATACACACACTCACACTCACATACACTCACACAGCCTTCCTGCCTTCAGCTTTCCTGCCATCCTGCTTTCTCCCACCTCCCTGATTAAATCTGCTGGAAGGAAAGGACCCTGAAAACTTATCTGTTGAAGGGACAGACCAATCTTACAGGGTTGATAGTGTCTCCCAGGAGTAGGAGATTGTTCTTATTTGGCAGAGGAGGGTTCTGCTCCCAAAGAGAGGAAAGAAATAGATGGAATTCGAGACTGTCAGTGAGGATGCACTCTGGGGAGTTTCTGAGTTCTTTTTCCTTATTGTAAAGACAAGAGTGGACCCACCAAGCAAAACTGGGGCCCAGCAGCTCTGACTGCTGATTTGTGGCTTTTCCAATTCAGTATCCTTGTCCCCAAATCCCGTAATTATTAAACTTCACAGACCAGACTCCTAGTTCTAAACTCCATTCTGTTTTTCTCTTCCCTCCATGTCTTTCAACCTTTGATCTAAGTGAGTTTCTCAGAGCACATTACAGTTTTCAGCTGCTGTGTCAGGCAGTCAGAACATAGGAGCTCTAACCCAGTCACAGAACAGCCTTTCAGATTAGTATTATTTCCCATATGTCAAAACGAGTTAACCGGCGAGAGAAAACTGGTAATTTCTCTAGCTTAACATACAGTCATAATTCGAATACACATCCCAAGTCCATGCTCTTTCCACTTCCTCTGCCCCATGCAATGCTTTTGACCCATGGCCAGGAATAGCATTTCCTCTCTTTACTTTCCCCAACATTTCTCTTCATATTCCTCTCCACTTCCCACCTTTCTCACCAAAACAATGTGGAAGGTCCCCTCCCAATTTCCCGATCAATGGGAATGATGCCCGTTGAACTGTATCTGACCATAAGCCAGGAGATGGGTCTGAAACCTCTCGTCTCCATCCCCACCCTCACTCTGGGAGCCAGAGCTCAGAGTGGCTGCGGCTTTTGGTCTGGCTTTGTTTTCTCTCATCATCCTTATTAGCTGCCTAATTGGCAGCCCAATTAATCTGTTCATCTGTGAAGGAGGATAGATCACAATGAGCTACTCCATTTCCAGAAGCTGTTCTCTGAGGCAGCGTGGTCAGGCCCTGAGCACAGGCTGGCTCCTTGATGAAGAGCCTCCCCAGGAGCCGGGGTCAATTAGTGGACAGATTAAGCAATTATGAGCCCCTAACAAGGGTGCCTGGCATCATTACCCTGCCTGTTTACTGGCAAACTGCAGCTTTAGTATGAAGACCAACAAATAAATTAAGACATCTGGTCTACTGCTGCATCGGCCGAGAAATAAATGATGTCCAACTGGCTTGTGGCTGCCCATGATTTCTCAGCCTTGGCCTAATGAAAAGCCTGAGCCATCCCTCACCAGTCCTACCAGCTCTGGAATGTGCTCTGGAGTCACTCCAGGAGCTAAGTGCTTGCCACTGGGCATGGGGATGCTCTTAGTCACCCTGCCGCCTCCTCCTGTCCCTCTATCAAACCTACTCTGTTACAGGGCCCAGCTCAAAGCTTCTTCTCCCTGGTGCTCTCTCCAGCAGGACAGGAGTTGCTCTTCTGCATTTTAGAAGGGTTGTGTACTCTCTACTACTTTCCAGTATCACAGTCATTTCATGGGATGCCAGGGTGCCATCTTGCCCACTGTTTTCAGTTTTAGATGAAGAATCATTGAGAAGAGGAAGGTGAGGGCAAGAGCCCAGTGTTGTTTTTTCATCTCCTTCTTGTGGATGCATGCAGGCCATCACCAGAGGACATCAAGGAGGGAGTGGCAGGGTCACACTTGCACTTTAGGAATATCTCCTGGCTACGGTGTGTAAGGCATCTATCTGTCAGAGGCATTGGTTGTCACCCAGGCCAGGTGTGGTGGCATAGAGCAGAAGAGAGACAGAAGGTTGGGATGAGGGCAGCTTTCCTAGATTCAGAGAAGAGACTTGGGGGCAGCCTGACTGGGGAAGGAGAGTCATGGAGAATTCAACTTTTCTAAATTTAGTGACCTGGACACAAGGTGGTGTAGGTGCCAGTGAGAAGCAAAGAGGGAATCTGGAACAGAGGATCCTCAAAGTGGGGAAAGGGACGGTTGGGGAACACTGAAGAAACCTCTTTCCTCACGGGACATTAGCAAGATCCCTTCCCCTCCCTACTTCCTGGTGTGCCCATCCTCAGCATGAGGATCCAGATCTTTAAGTCCTCTGACCCCATAGTCATCAATTGGATGCCGGTACTTAGCTAACTTCATCTCAGTCTGTCAAAACCCTGTGGGCTCTCCATCATACAGCTCAAATGCTATGTTTTTGGAAGGTCTCCCTATGCTTTCCACAAGAAATGGTCTCTCCATCCTATCCTTGGGCTTCAGGAGGACAATGTGCTTCCTCCTTAAAAATCCTTTGAGGTTAACTCAGAGGCTTCTCTTTCTCTAGGGATCATTGACTTCCTTGTAAGCCAGCACCCGATTGCTCGTGTCCTGCGGGAACACCTGGTCTTCAAGATTGCACCAATGCTCAACCCTGATGGAGTCTACCTAGGCAATTACAGGTGAGTGACAGGAGATAATGTTCAGAAGCTGGTAGTTGTAGGATGATGGTATGGGAGCAACAAGTAAAAGGTGTTGTATTTTTGAGGAAGGATTTTCAGACTTCCCATGAGTTAATTAGTGGAAGCTTCACCCTGGCTCTAGAAAATGTGGCTAATAAGGCTTGGCTGTTTTATGCTCAGCCACCTGAGCTATCACTTGCTGGGGTTTTCTGAGCAGCTTGCTGGACCAGGAATCAGGTGCCTGCTATCAGTTTTTGGCACCTACTTGCTATGTAACCTTAGGGAATTAATTTCCCCTCTGATGCTCCATTTCTCTTGTGTAATGGAGACAATAATTACTTACCTGGCAGGGTATCTGTGAGCATCAGAAGAAATGGTGGTGATAACTATGCTTTGCAGAATATCATATGGTGGTTATAATGATTGCTGTTTCATTTCTGTGTTTCTTCTTGGAGGTCACTAATGATGGAATGGCACCCTTGATCATCTGAACAGCATTTCTGTGTTTTGGGCTTACCAGCTAGCCCCATACTCACTCATGCACTCCTGTCTTGAGTTCTCTTTCTGCTGGTGCACCATAAATTTATAGCCTAAATTCCACTGCTGAGTGGTTATCTGCTGAAAAGACATTGGATTCTCTCAGATAGTGTTCTTGCTCTTATTTCACAGTCGAGGTCACTGATTTGCCCAAAGTCACACCCAGTAAATCACTGACTGTCTAACTTCTCTGCCCACATTATACAACTCTGTTGCTTATGAGTCCAACAAAAACTCTCAAGAAAACATTCAAAGGGCTGGGCTTTTCTTGCAAGGCTCTGTATGACCTGCTGTTCATCTGTCTGTCTACAGTGCTGCCTCACCTCCCATATCCCATTCTTAGAACTGTTGCTGTGGCCACACTAAGTAAAGCCTTGTTCCCTGAATGTGTCCTGATGATCTCTGATCCCTTACCCTCTGCCCAGAACCCCCTCATACCTTCTTCACCTCACTCACCTCTCTTCACAGCTCAGCTGTCCCACATTTTCTGGAAAACATTCCCCAACCCTCCAAACAGAATTGGTCACAGCCTTCTCTGAGCTCCCACCAGCCTGGTTATTGAGCAAGTTTTATCCCAATGCATAGACCCCACTGACCCTCCAGCCACCAGAGAGCAGGGACTGAGCTCTAATGGTCTTTGTGTATAACCCAGACCTGGCAGCAAAGATCAGCACATAGTATTAGGTGCTCAAAGAGTGTTTGATGTATATGAGTGAAGAAATCCAATGACTCAACTGATGAAGAAACTGAGACCCAGAGGTGAGATGGGAATAGTGGCAGAGCTCAGACCAGAACACAGGCTGCCAGCTTCACTTCAAACAGAGCTGGTTTGCTGCTTTCCAAGAGCATGGCAATTTGGTCCAGAGGGGCCTCCTAGTCCCCCTGGGCATGAGTTGGAGAGAGCCCACGGGACGCATGATGCCTTAATTAAAGACAGTTTTGCTTCCTCTCTTAATTGGCTCGAGTGATGGTTCATTAGCACTGGCAAGTTTTATGGCTTGCTGTGGGCCTGAGTGCGGTGCCATTCTCCTCCCCGGACAGAATGCAGTTAGTGATGATGGTGGTGGAATGACTGTTTGATTTATGTTAACGTTTCTGCTTAATTACAAGAGTGGCCATGGTCAGAGGGAGGTCAATGCTGTCCACACATACATTTATGTCGTCCTCTGCCATCCAGGGAGGATGCCCTGGAAAGAGGTCTGTGACCTTGGCTCAGATGCCACTCCTCCCTAGGATGGCCAGGAGGGTGGTGATGGGGAACCAGATGCTTTAATATGTCTTCAAGATCCAGATTTTGTGATTTGGGATTTCAGGATGAAAGAGCTCCGACACTCAGAAGTGGTTCTGCCCTCAAGTTTAACCCCCCAGCATTCTCCAAGTGAGAATGTGTGACTCTCATTAAGAGAGCAGGAGGAAATCTCCAACCACAGGCATTAATCCTGTTGCTAAAACAGTTCTGAGTAGCAACAAAAGAGGCTATCAGTCACAAAAATCCACTACCAGATGTGGGGAGTGTGCACCTCGGAGGTCGAGGTCCCCGAGAGCAGCCAGCCCCTCCTGAGCCCCTGACTGATACAGCAGCAGTTCTCACCATTTGGTGGGACTTCCCACGGCATTATGGGGGATAGGGAGAAGAATTCAGAGTTCAAGTAAGTTTGGGAAACACGGAGCTGAGAAAAGTTAAATGTGCCCTTTTACAATAAGACTTTTCAGTTTCAAAAATGCTAATACCAGTAAACAGGGGGATATGTATTTAGTGTTCTCCAAATTGTCACACACACATTCCCCCAGGGGTGTTAGGGCTTATAAAACACATGACAGGAAATGCCATTTCAAGAATTCTGTTTGCTCACCCAGCCCATGTCAAGCTCTCCCACCCTTATTTCATCCTTATAGCCACCCTGTGAAGGGCAGGGGGGAGGGAAGGGAAGGAGCTGGGCAGGGGGAAGAGTCTTAGTTAAAGTTTCTGTGCTTGCAAATAATAAAAATCTTCTCAAAGTAGCTTGAGCACAGGAGGAAAGGCAGGAAGTAGGGGACATAGGACAGAGAAAGGAAGGAAAGAAGGAAGGAAGGAAAAAAGGGAGGGAAGAAGGGAAGGAAGGAAGAAAGAAAGCTTATTAAAGTATATAGAATCATAAAGACAGAAGGCAGAATGGTAGGGAAGCGGGGATGAGTGGGCAGGTATTGTTTAGTGTGCATAGATGTTGTTTTATAAGATGAAAAGATTTTTGAAGAAAGATGATCTTGATGGTAGCACAATAATATGTACTGAACTGTATCATTAAAATTATTAAGATGGTAAATTTGATGTTATGTGTATTTTACAATTAAAAAAAAAAAAAAAAGCAAGACTGGTATGGCTGCTGATGCAATGTGAGCATCTTCCTAGGTCCCGGGGAAACTGGAGGCCTAGAGGTTTTGCAGGATGAATTCTGTAGCTTCAGGTGTTGCAGAGACAAGAAGGTGCGAGGCGACTCCTGGTGGAAGGCCATTGGGTTGGAGCAGGGCCTGGTCCCTCCACCAGTGGTTGCCCACACAAGTTGCAGCATTTGCACTGTCTCGCTCTCTCTGCTACTGCATCCTTCCCCATCACTTCCTCGGCAGAGAAGAAAGCCTCTGCCTGTACCTGTGCCTCCTGCCTTGTTCTCTTCTGAGCCTTGCATTTGAGAAACAGACTCTCCATCTCCATCTGACAACATGACTCTGTGGTGGGTTTGCATTTCTTAATTAGGTGCTTGTCATTGTGTATTCCGTAGAGCCACGTATAAGTAAACAGTCATAGACCTTTGAATAAATTTATTGGTTTTATTTATGTTTCTGGGCATAAAAATCTATAATTACCAGGTACAGCCTCAGTATAACTGGTATTTAATGACAATTACTTTTTGTTGCCATAGAAATGAGTCCAGAGTAGTTACCCATAATTTCTCATTTCCCAAACCTCACACATGCTGGATTGCAATATTACCATAGTAATTGCCTATTAGTCATCATAAAATACGCAGTTACCCAAAAGATAGCAAGTGGCTGTGAAATTTCGCATCTTCAGAAAACCTTAGAGCTTCTTTGGAGCGTGGAGGCGGGGCGAGGCACAGGCTCCCGGTGGTGAGTGACTCCGCTGCGTAGATGGCTCCGCGGTGGAGAGATGCTGCCACGCTCTGCAGACCACGCCTCGTTATGTCTCTTGGCCCTGGCATTCCTCATGGAGCAGAGGATGCGTGAGTGCAGTAAATCCAATTTAACTAAGGTTTGTGGCTGGCCTGCTGAGGGCGAGGGCCCAGGTGGGGAAGCCGACGGCAATCTGAAGCAGCCCTTCTCCATGAGAAGCCCTGTGTTTGGACTGGAGGGTGAGTGAGTGGTGGTATGGAGGCCTCATCTAACGTCTAAGTGCCTACAACTGTACCTTTATCTATATCATCACATGTGACCTTCTCAGCAGCCCTGCGATGGAAGTAGTATTGTAGGCCCATTTTGTTTTTATTTTTTAAATACATTTTTATTGATTTCAAAGAGAAAAGGAAAGAGAGAGAGAGACATCACTGATATGAGAGACTCATTAATCAGTCACTTCATGCACGCCCCATACTAGGGATAGAACCTGAAAACTTAGTGTGTGCCCTAACCAAGAATTGAACCATGATCTCCTAGTTCATAGTTCTGTGCTCAACCTCTGAGCCACACCAGCCGGGCAGTAGCCCCAGTTTAGAGAAGGAAATTGAGGCACAGAGGTGCCAAGGAGCCTGCCCCAGGTACTTCAGCAGGAAGGTCAGAGCAGGTTGGTGAACTGGGCAGGCCCAGCTTAGCCTGCCACAGATTTCACCCCCGCTCTGCTGCTCCTGAAAGCAGGAGGGCTGTCCTCCCACCAGTGATGAGGGCGGGGTTTGGAAAGATGGAGGGTCTATAGGAGTTCACCAGACATAGAAGGGAGATAAAAAGAGATTTGTACAGCAAAACAGTGTTTAACGATGGCAGGGGGTAAAATGCCAGGGAGATATTTCCAATACACACACACACACACACACACACACACACACACACGTTATAACTGACTCTGCCCACTTCAATATCCAAAACAGGAAATATTTTGAACTGGCTAAAATAGAATAGAACATAAAATTCGCTGTGTGAAATACATGTCAACATCCCATGTGTTCTCTGACAGCATAAAAACTGTGCATTTTATTTTTCATCAAGTAGAAATGGAAAACAAAGATCCACTGCAAGGATTCCTCACAGGAAGACCTGCTGGCCCCTCTCCCAGAGACTTCTTCCCAGTCGACCATGTTTCACCCACTTGGTGACTCTGTCATAGCACCATCAGCCTTGGAGCGGGAAGGGGATTGGACAAAGTATCCCTAAGTGACAATAGTCCCTCTATCTGTCTACCTGCAGCTGGATCTGGGTGGTTCTCTCCCTCCCCAAGCATCGTGTTGCCCCGATGGACCACTTGGGAGGATTTATAT